TAATGCAATTCTGGGCTGCATCAACAAAAGCGTATTGTTAGGATTATTTGGTAGAGCATAGCGTGCTGTTGCTGAGCGTGTGGCTAGTGAAGAAAAATGATCTGGAGCCATGAATTGAGGGGAGAAATCCTATTTATTAACTACGACGTCTGCCTATAACAACAGAATCTCTAAAACAAAATACAGATGCTTCTAGTGCAACATCTACTGTACGTGTGCTTGCCTGCTGTTCTGTTCAGCTAGAATAAAGGAGTAAGAAGTAGACTCAGAGAGAGAAGAAAGGTAGTCCAAGAGTACTAATCTGCATCTAGATCTGATAAAACAAAGCCAAGAAAACACAGGCCGGGCAGCTTGTTCATTGCGGTGGGAAGGCGTTGAACCTTTGAGAGAGAGAGAGAGATTCAAATGTTGGAAGGATTGCCACATAACACATGGAACAGATTTACCATCTAGTCCCAGCTGAATGGATAAAGACTATATGGGCTGCAGGGAGCTCATATATGGTGGTCCTGCCAAATTGTTTAAGAAGTTTCCAAATGTTTCTAATCCCAACTGTTTAATGAACCTGGTACTACGTTTAATAAACCTGCAAATTCTAGATCTAATTAATGTTTTAAAGCAGGGATTTTCTGCATTCAAAACACAGTGGGAGCTCCTTTAAAAACATTTGCAATCAGTTTAGAAAATAAATTACAAAAGTTGCGTGCCAACCTGTGGAACCAAATACTTCTATTAGTTGGCCTCAGTCGGTCATTCAACACAACAAATCCATGCTTTTAACTGATTTTCATATATTTCACTTGCCAATAAAGGCTTGCCTCCTAATTGGATCCAGTGGGTCACATGTCGGTCCCAACTATAGCATAGATGCAAGATAGTCTCTTGATGGTATTACTCAGTTTATAATTTGGATTACCTTGTTGTTCCTGAAAGTAAATACATGTACTTTCCCCTTATCCTCCTTCCCCTCCTTTCCTTGTTCTATCCTTTTAATGCCTTGCTCATGTTTTATTTCTTGAACAATTAGTAATCACAGTCTACACATACTCCATAACTGCAGTATTCAAATACTATATGTGGATTTAATCAGTTAACCAATTAACCAAGTGTGCCACCTATATGCCCCAAATTCCTTTCTTTTCTTTAATTTTTTTTAATTTCCAAAACAAATACAAGAATTAAAAATACTAATACAATCGAAAACATAGTGCATCCCCATACCTACGGGACCCTTTGGAGCAGTACTTTTATTACAAAACTCCTTCCCAAAATTGTATTGATTGCTGCTTAGAGGCTTTCCCCTTTCCTTTCACTAATACAAATTAAATAAATCTACCTCAAATAGCATAACAATATTTGAACATATTTCGCCTCTTTTCATCTTAAGTTTAGTAGTCAATTTATCATTTAATGCAATGTCCCATACTTCATTATACAGTAGTGCCTCACTTGACGAGGATAATCCGTTCCAGCAAAATCGCTGTAGAAAGAAATCGTCGTCAAGCGAAAGGAAAAATCCCATTGAAATGCATTGAAAACCGTTTCAATGCACTCCAATGGGCGAAATATCTCAGCGTCCAGCGAAGATCCTCCATAGGGCGGCCATTTTCCAGTGCTTGTAAAGTGAGGAATCCGTCCTAAAGCACAGCGGGGAGCCATTTCACACAGCGGGCGGCCATTTTGAAGGCCAGACATCAGCTGTTTTGATAGTCATTAAGCAAAAAATCGGTTCCCGAAGCAGGGAACCACTCATCCTGAAGCGATTTTTCCCTATTAAAACATCGTTTTGCGATTGCAAAAACTTCATTGTTAAGCGATTTCCTCGTCTAACGAGGTAATCATCAAGCGGGACACCACTGTACCAAGCTTCTAATTTAATATCATTTTTATCTTTCCAGAATCTAGCTATCAATATAGTAGCATGTGTCATAAAATTAGAAACCAATTCCTTTCATAATCAAGTTCTATCTTATCATATTCAATATGCCTGCAGGTTTGGAAAACTCAGCAGTGGCCAGAGGATTGGAAAAGATCAGTCTACATCCCAATCCCAAAGAAGGGCAGTGCCAAAGAATGCTCCAACTACCGTACAATTGCACTCATTTCACACGCTAGCAAGGTTATGCTCAAAATCCTACAAGGTAGGCTTCAGCAGTATATGGACTGAGAACTCCCAGGAGTACAAGCTGGATTTCAAAGGGGCAGAGGAACTAGAGACCAAATTGCTAACATGTGCTGGATTATGGAGAAAGCCAGAGAGTTCAGAAAAACATCTACTTGATGTATGGAAGTGAGAGCTGGACCATAAAGAAAGCTGACTGCTGAAGAATTGATGCTTTTGATTGTGGTGCTGGAGGAGGCTCTTGAGAGTCCCCTGGACTGCAAGGAGAACAAACCTATCCATTTTGATGGAAAGTGAGTGCTTCCTGAGTGCTCACTGGAAGGACAGATCCTGAAGCTGAGGCTCCAATACTTTGGCCATCTCATGAGAGCAGAAGACATCCTGGAAAAGCCCCTGATGTTGGGAAAGTGTGAAGGCAAGAGGAGAAGGGGACGAGAGAGGACGAGATGGGTGGACAGCGTCATTGAAGCTACCAACATGAATTTGACCCAACTGCGGGAGGCAGTGGAAGACAGGAGGGCCTGGCGTGCTCTGGTCCATGGGGTCACAAAGAGTCAGACACAACTTGATGACTAAACAACAACCTCATATATAATGTTCAAAACTCACCTAGTTAAATTAGCCATTTGTCTTCCCTTTATAAAGCTACTTTGATCCTCTTTAGTATAATTTTACCTTCTTGGGCTCCATAATCACTGCAGATGGAGACAGCAGCCACGAAATTAAAAGATGCCTTCTTCTTGGGAGAAAAGCAATGCCAAACCTTGACAGCATCCTAAAAAGAAGAGACATCACCTTGCCAACAAAAGTCCGAATTGTCAAAGCTATGGTTTTTCTTGTCGTGATGTATGGAAGTGAGAGCTGGACCATAAAGAAAGCTGACCGCCGAAGAATTGATGCCTTTGAATTGTGGTGCTGGAGGAGGCTCTTGAGAGTCCCCTGGACTGCAAGGAGAACAAACCTATCAATTCTAAAGGAAATCAACCCTGAGTGCTCCCTGGAAGGACAGATCCTGAAGCTGAGGCTCCAGTACTTTGGCCATCTCATGAGAAGAGAGGACTCCCTGGAAAAGACCTTGATGTTAGGAAAGTGTGAAGGCAAGAGGAGACGGGGACGTCCCAGGATGAGATGGCTGGACAGTGTCACCAAAGCAACCAAAATGAATCTGACCCAACTCCGGGAGGCAGTGGAAGACAGGAGGGCCTGGCATGCTCTGGTCCATGGGGTCACGAAGAGTCGGACACGACTAAACGAAACGAAACAAGTATAATTTGCTATACAGTGGCACCTCGCACAACGGGCGCCTCGTAGAGCGATGATTCGCTCTACGAA